TTTTTAGTTGTGCAGATAATTTCTTTCTATTTTTAGTAGAGACAGGGGTCTCGCTCTTGCTCAGGCTGGTCTCGAACTCCTATCTTGAGCGATCCACCCGCCTCGGCCTCCCAGAGTGCTAGGATTACAGGAGTGAGCCACCGCACCCGGCCTGCACAGCACTTTTAACACTAAGAATGTGCATATTATGCATAAGGAGCTATAGGGGAAAAAAAAGAATGAGCATGATTTCATTTCTCCATGCAGGTGTTTATAGGCTGAAAACCATATGAAGATTGCTGTTTTCAGATTAGTGGGTAAAGAATAGATTATTATTAGCTTTGCTTTGCAAAACAATATTCATAGCATATGTCTCCCATAAGGACTGGGATTTGAAGGAACTTGAATGAGGGGGTTGTATGGAGAAGAAAAGAGAGAACTCATTCTAAAAATAAAGGAATAGAAGAATAAGCAAAAAATGTGCAATGTAAATATAGGAGAAGGAAACAAAAAAGTGAGCTTCATTCTTGAAAAGAGTGAGGGAAGTGGAACAGGGAAGAGAAAACCAGGACAATGATGTAGGCAGGGCCATATCATTGGCCCTTGTTGGGCATTGATCATTTTCTATTTTTGAGAGCCTGGCAAACAGGGTGCTCTCAAAAAATATTTGTTGAATGAATAGCACTAGGGAGCCAAAGGGTTAAGGACTCAAAAGAATTGGGGACATAGTTGAAGCATAAATGAAAAACTGTTTAAAACTGAAGTTAGGGCTAATTAGACTAGAAAGGCTGTGGGGTAATGGAAGAATAGGAGAACCCTTAGGTAGCACTAAGAGTAAATTAATTTAATGTATTTACTTTTTGCAGGGCTAGATGTTCTGAAGAAAGCATGGTTTCTAGAGGTAAGCAATTCCGGAGGTCTTCTGCTATGCTTTTCAACATAACGTCATTATTATCTTGAGTGAATTCATCAAAATCTCCTGGGGAAAAAAAAAAACTCTTATAGTTGTAGTCGTACCTAGACTAATGGTATCCATACAATGGATATATTTTCCATCAGATAGCATCAATTTATACAATAACAATAAGTAAACCTAACCAATAACAGATTCAAGTCCTAACACAAGTTCTACTTAAAATATTGAGTGTTTTGGGAGGGGGGAAGAGAGGATGGGTAAATTCACACCTAACGGGTACAATGCACACTATCTGGGTGAAGGGCACACTTATAACTTTGACTTAAAAACTGTACGAAAGCAATAATATTTCAGAATATTACGGAGGTACACACCAAAAAAAAAAAACTGAGTTTTTCCTTTTTCCAAACTGCTTACCATATAAAAGCAAAGATATTTTTAAAAACATGTAGTATTTTAATTACTTTATTTTTATTCAAGAATAATACTGCCATTAATTTTTAGGGGTTTAAACTCATTAATAATTAGTCAAATATTTCTTCTGTGAACACACAGATCATAGAAATTTAGGAGGTATCACTCAGGGGATTATTAAAAAGATAACCCTAATCTGGGTATCCTTGACTCCAATAAAATGTACCCAAGACTTCATCTGGCACCAATTATATAATAAACTACAATAATCATGTTTTTCTGCTATACTAAAGCAGCAGATAAAATAATAATTAAAATATCGTATTTCTGATGGCTGTGGTCTATTTTTGGATGGTCTGGCAAAAGAAGTGTGTGTGTGTTGCAATAAATGTAGAAAAGGTATGGTAAGAGATTGTAGGTGAATCTAGATGATGGTATAAAAGTTGTTGTGTTCATTGTTCCGTTGTTTCAAATTTTCTGTGGGTAATGGGCTCTAAAAAAATATCTTTTCTGGCCAGGTGCAGTGGCTCACACCTGTAATCCTAGCAGGCCAAGGCAGGGGTGGGGGGGATCTTGAGTCCAGTAGTTTGAGACCAGCATAAGCAACACAGTGAGACTCTAAAAAAACAGAAAAATTAGCCTGGTATGGTGGCATGTGCCTATAGTCCCAGCTACTTGGGAGGCTGAAGCAGGAGGATCGCTCCAGCCAAGGAATTGGAGGATGTAGTGAACTGTGATTATACCACTGCACTTTAGCCTGGGCAACAGAGCAAGACCCTGTCTCAAAAAAAAAAAAAATTATAATAATAATTTCTAAGCAGTACATATACAATTTAAAATAGGATGTGACTTATCTCATCTGGAAGTAAAATACCTTTTTTTTGAGACAGAGTCTTGCTCTGTTGTCCGGGCTAGAGTACTGTGGTGTCAGCCTAGCTCACAGCAACCTCAAACCCCTGGGTTCAAGCAATCCTCCTGCCTCAGCCTCCCAAGTAGCTGGGACTACAGGCCTGCGCCACCATGCCCGGCTAATTTTTATATATATATTTTTAGTTGTCCAGATCATTTCTTTCTATTTTTTAGTAGAGACAGGGTCTCGCTCTTGCTCAGGCTGGTCTCGAACTCCTGACCTTGAACAATCCACCAGCCTCAGCCTCCCAGAGTGCTAGGATTACAGGCGTGAGCCACCGCGCCTGGCCTGGAAGTAAAATACTTTTGAAGTCAGCCATTGTCTAGGATGTCAAATGTAGACTGGAAAGGATTACTAAAAGAATAGTAGGGTAGGAAAACTATTTTACCTTCCTCTTAAAAGACTTTATATGGAATTCTTGCTAGGGTAGAAAGACCTCAAGAAGATTTTCTTACAATTTAAAAATAGCCATAAAAGGAAAACAAAGATATCCTAAAGAAAATGTCATCCATCCCCACATTCCCTGTCCCCCAAATCTTTGGATGTTTTAACTTTGGATGTTTCAACTCACGATGTCCTTCTTAAACATAAAATAATTTTGTGTTTATTCAGAATGCTATTTTCATATAATAAATAATTAAAATTTGGATGATGTTTTATAGCTTACAAAGTTCTTTCATGTAGAAACTAAGTCAATTAACTATTATAACATCCATGTGAGGAAGAAAATCAAGATTACATTTCAGATTCAGATTTACTTGATTAGGAAACTGAGCGTTCCAAGGTTAAATGAATTACCAAAAGTTGCAAAGCAGGCCAACAGCTGCACAAGGACATAAATCTGTTTGCTGCCCATAAACAATGTACTCTTCCCACCCCCCACAATACCACTGAGTCCCTACATACAAAGATTCTTTCTCTGTATAACTTTCCCTTGAGCCATAGTAGTTAATACCTGTATTTGCCTCTCTGACTTGATGTAGGAAGGCTTTTTAGCTCTTTTTTCTTTTCTCACATATCTAGTAGAATGCTCTAAGCTATTGCTTTAAATTATTCCTAGAAGGAGGCAGAATATAAATTACAGAGAAACAAAAATACTATTGAGATGCATTCCAAATTGTTTTAGGCCGAATTTAAATAGCTTTTTTTATGCATTTAGTCCCCTAAACTGACCTTTTTCATTGTATTCCTACAATCTAATTAATTTTTCCCAGGTGCTAATTAATACCTAAATCTGCTTAGTTTCCCTCCATAGATAGAATATTGTATGGAAGCTTCTATGACTGAAATTTAATTCTCATATCACTCACACCAGTGCTTCTCTCAGTTTTGTAAATGGTGTAACTAAAGAATCCAATAAAAACATCTCATTATATGAAACTAAAATATTTTATGACCCAAATTCCTTGGAATTACTTCTGTAACATAAACAAACCATGTAATAAAAAACATGGTTTCATGAGTTTGGCTTATAAAACCAGTCTTAGAGTGGAAAGGGAACTTAGACAATGACCTCTTACCAAATGGCAGAACACTACGTATAAATCTTTGATATATGATATACAGTTGTTCAGTTTTTACCTTAACACATCAGGGACAGCATTTCTTCCTCAGACTCAGCCAGAATCTGCCTCCCTATAATATTAACTCATTTTTAAAATTTCAGCCTGAAAAGTATCATCTTTATTGCTGTACATTTACTGAATGAGCACTTAAGGCATGCTAGACTTTATGCAGTGCTTTTTACACTGTCATTAACCCCAGGAGCCCTATAGGTGGCACTATTATCATCTCTATTTTTTTTTTTTTGAGACAGAGTCTCACTGTGTTGCCTGGGCTAGAGTGCCGTGGCATCAGCCTAGCTCACAGCAACCTCAAACTCCTGGGCTCAA